ATTAGAAAGGCTTACCCCATCAGTAGATAAAACTAAGTGCAATGTTATTTTTTCATCGGAAGGCTCTATTGGTGGAGCAACTTCAAGATAAAAATCATTCATCTTTGAAAAACTTTTTCGTTGATCAGAATATGAGATCAACGAGTTCCAATTTCGGACCACTATTTGAACAAGATCTGACCCGAAACATAAAACACACAAATGACCCCCCGGAACTTCAGTGTCCAGTCTTGTGTCGATAACAAAACTACGTTTCATATCTTTCAAAAAAGCATAACTCGACGGAAGATTATTTTTATCGATCAGTGTATCAATTAATAGGTGCAAATCTACAGCTCCCTTGTCGGATAAATTATTTTTTAGACAGAAAGATTTCATTGCAAGCACAGTATTATGCAATCCTGATTTTAGGTACGGACTCAATTCAATTGACATAGGTATTTTTTCCTCATCTTCAAAATCAAACTTGAAAGACGTGTCAATTTCTTCATTTATTGATGATATTGATATATCCGGCAAAACGTTTTCTGATTGATCTAAAATTGGAGATGAAGTTGTTTTTTCTCTTAAACACATGTTCGTTGATAGAGAGTCTTTATTGCAAAACTGGTTGAGTTCATAGAGGCTAGTTTCCAAATCAATAGACTCAGAACAAAGGCTAACAGGGGTTAGATCAGTACAAGCGCTAACAGGGGTTAAAATTTTTCCAGACTGATCCGGCTCAAAAAACGACCATTTTTCGCTCATTTTTAAAGATCTTGGTTTTTTTCTGACTGGAGCGGGCTCAGGTGTGCAATTTCTAGCGACACCATTTTCTGAAATGATTGATTCTGCAACCTCTCTTATTAAATTCGTCAAACAAACATCTAACTGCTCCATGATTATATCCGTTGTATCGCTGCTTATGTATTCAACTGTAATTTCACTGGAAATCTCCTTTTCAGCATCCAAATGTACGTGTGCAGCATTCCTCACACAAGTTAGGCATCCACATTTATTATCCTCAAAAAAGTGGCAACTATACTTGACTAAAATTTCGTCTCCAGGTAAAATTTTTTTCAAGGTTTCTATACGCACAAGTAGTTGGTCACTCGAGAAATCATATTTTGAGTTCGGCTCACAATCGGAGTTGATAAAGCGTAAGGGACCCAGCATTAGATTTAATTTCCCATTTGACGATTTTTCCATAACAGATAAGGAACAGGAAAAGTCTTCGGGAACAGGTGTTATGAAACCTATGGGGGTTTTTTTGAACAACGTTCCGGCTGTAACTTTATCTTTGCCACAATAAATCAACTTATATCCACCATATCTGTCGTGTACAATTTTGAAACTGCCTTCCAAGTCACGGTAGGCTTTACAACATAATTCATAACAGTTGCGCCAAACTTCATTTTCTTGACATGTTTTATCAAAAATGCGGCGCGACTGCAAGATCAAAACTCTTTCTGCTTTCAACCCACCATACTCAACCGCCAATTTTACCGCCTGGCCGTCGCAGTGGGCGAGCGTTTTCCAGTCTACTTTTCGATCCATCAATAACCTGGAAGACTTTCAAATGATATACATCGATTGAGCTAAGAAACCAAACAACGAACACGTTACTTTCCTTTCTGTAAAAACAAACCAAGTATAACGGAGACGATGCGGGGCTTCGCACTACTTGATATACAACAAAAGATAGGAACGCAATTAGCCCCCAAAAAAATTGCACGCTTCGCACCATTTGGGATACAGAACAAAAAAAACATTGAACGAAATCATCAATGTCGGCAAAACTAGATCTATCAATAAGAGTCCCCTCATCCTCAAAACTCACAAAAACTCAAAAGTCTTTATTTGCCCCTCAAATGAACCAAAATGAGGCCAGTAAGCTGATATCAGAAAAACCTAAACCTATTAAGCTTATAAAAAGCAAAACCAAAGCCGAGAACAGTAAAAAATATATATATTTTCAACAATACACGCACATTACTTATTTCGCTGGTCGAAACCGTAATAAGGCCAATAAGGCCAATGAAAAACCATATGTATGTATATATGTATATGTGTGTATATATGTAAATGTATGTATATTTGTATATGTATGTATGTATGTATATATGTATATGTATGTATATATGTATATGTATGTATATATGTATATGTATGTATATAGGTATATGTACGTATACATGTATATATGTATATGTTTGTATTCATGTTTATGTATGTATATATGTATATGTATGTTTATATGTATATGATGTATATATGCATATGTATGTATATATGTATATGTATGTATATTAATGTATATAAGTAAATGTATGTATATATGTATATGCATGTATATATGTATATGTATGTATATATGTATATGTATGTATATATGTATATGTATGTATATATGTAAATATATGTATATATCTATATATAAGTCTGTATATATCGTTATGTATGAATTTATGTATGTATGTATATATGTATATGTATGTATATATGTATGTATATTCTTGACCATTGCAATAAATGACCGACATAGCTCAAGCGTGAAAAAATTCTTTCGTAAAACAATTTAGGCTTACCAGCACCTTATAAAATCGATTTATTTAATGCTATTAACTAGTTGACAGTAGATCGTCGCGAAAATCGCAACACACTACAATTCGTAATAACTTTTTGACTATACTTTCTAATTTGACTAAGGACTTGCTAAGTTCCAGGCTGCCGCGAAAATCGCAGCAAGCTTTTCATCTGAAATCTGTTCTGAGTCTGGTTTTAAAATTCTTCTTGAGTATCAAAATTTTTTTAAAATCTGATCACCGCTGAAGTCGCAGTAAATCAAATCTTTTTTTCCCATGTTCGGCTGAACCCTCATCAGATTTGCTGCAAAGAAAAAGTCATTTAAATATTTAAAAGCCACGGAAATCGCAACACTAAACTTTTGGCTGTGATAAATTTGTTGACGGAAAAAACGTTTGCTACCGATTGCTACAAAATTCACAGTAAACTAATAAAAATATGTATTTTATTAGTTTTACAACTACCAGGAATGACTAGCAGAAAGAAACAAAAAAGAAACTGTTGGAACGTTTTAAAAAGTCGTGATGAGAAGTGTTTTTTTTGAGATTTGCTCTTGTGTCAAAATTATCAATCAAGGTAACAGCCAAAACAAAAATTCACAAGAAAGTTTCATTCAATCTTTCAATTAACGTTGAGTTTAATTTTTTTCTTTTCGTGTCAAAAGTTGACAGGTTGAGCATTTTTTGTCGAGTTTTCTCGATAAACTTTTTTTTCTGATGACATTGAACCAAACATGTCTTTCTGGTTTCCACCACTCAGTTGGCGCTTCTTCTGCACTGCAATCTTTTGGTTACTTAACTGACGAACAGACAACATCAACCAAATTAGTCACGTTTGGCGACACCAATTTCTCACAATTTCAAATTTAATTTTATACTACATATATATAGTAATACAGCAATATAATTCAGAGAAAGTGGAACGGTCTGAAATAAATATAAATCAAGACAAAGGCAGCAAAACAATTATCTGCAACTTTTTGGAGAAGCCTGAGGAATTTAATTTTGCTCAAAATTAAATAAAATGCACATGCGTTTTAGCACCAAATGTTTACTGTGCAAACGGAACAAAAAGAACAGTAACCATTTCAATAATATTTGAATGTCTTCTTTCAAATGCATCGGCATTTCACTCATGAAAGCCAACAATTGAATTAGAAAGAACCGGTTAACGAACAGACAAAACCAACCAAATTAGTCACGTTTGGCGACACCAATTTCTCACAATTTCAAATTTAATTTTATACTACATATATATAGTAATACAGCAATATAATTCAGAGAAAGTGGAACGGTCTGAAATAAATATAAATCAAGACAAAGGCATAAAATCAATTATCTGCAACTTTTTGGAGAAGCCTGATGCATTTAATTTTGCTCAAAATTAAATAAAATGCAGATGCGTTATAGCACCAAATGTTTACTGTGCATACGGAACAAAAAGAACAGTAACCATTTCAATAATATTTGAATGTCTTCTTTCAAATGCATCGGCATTTCGCTCATGAAAGCCAACAATTGAATTAGAAAGAACCGGTTAACGAACAGACAAAACCAACCAAATTACTCATGTTTGGCGACACCAATTTCTCACAATTTCAAACTTAATTTTATACTACATATATATAGTAATACAGCAATATAATTCAGAGAAAGTGAAACGGTCTGAAATAAATATAAATCAAGACAAAGGCAGCAAAACAATTATCTGCAACTTTTTGTAGAAGCCTGAGGAATTTAATTTTGCTCAAAATTAAATAAAATGCACATGCGTTTTAGCACCAAATATTACTGTGCAAACGGAACAAAAAGAACAGTAACCATTTCAATAATATTTGAATGTCTTCTTTCAAATGCATCGGCATTTCGCTCATGAAAGCCAACAATTGAATTAGAAAGAACCGGTTAACGAACAGACAAAACCAACCAAATTAGTCACGTTTGGCGACACCAATTTCTCACAATTTCAAATTTAATTTTATACTACATATATATAGTAATACAGCAATATAATTCGGAGAAAGTGGAACGGTCTGAAATAAATATAAATCAAGACAAAGGCATAAAATCAATTATCTGCAACTTTTTGGAGAAGCCTGATGCATTTAATTTTGCTCAAAATTAAATAAAATGCAGATGCGTTATAGCACCAAATGTTTACTGTGCATACGGAACAAAAAGAACAGTAACCATTTCAATAATATTTGAATGTCTTCTTTCAAATGCATCGGCATTTCGCTCATGAAAGCCAACAATTGAATTAGAAAGAACCGGTTAACGAACAGACAAAACCAACCAAATTACTCATGTTTGGCGACACCAATTTCTCACAATTTCAAACTTAATTTTATACTACATATATATAGTAATACAGCAATATAATTCAGAGAAAGTGAAACGGTCTGAAATAAAAATAAATCAAGACAAAGGCAGCAAAACAATTATCTGCAACTTTTTGGAGAAGCCTGAGGAATTTAATTTTGCTCAAAATTAAATAAAATGCACATGCGTTATAGCACCAAATGATCACATGCTTTTATTTCCTTCAATTTCCTGCTTTCTTGCGAACAAAGCTCGCTTGGATTTGTTCTCAACCCCAACTGCGTTGAAACCTTCTTTCATTTGATGAAAGGCAACTTGCGGTCGGTTACACATAGACCAGCGAACTCCACATGCAGCTAAAACCAAACAAACGTTTATATATTTTTAAATTTTTTCAGCAAACAACAAGAAAATGCACTCAAAATTGCAAGGGTTAAAAATATCTACCATAAATTTGCTCATTGTTGTTTTACTCACTTTTCAATTTATCAATTCTAGTTGGGGACGGAAACTCAGCTCGAGTATTCCGGTCAATTCGCCCTGGCTCCAGAACATAGTCCTCGAGTTCTTTGTCACTGAACAGAACTCTTGCAACTGCACGACCCCATAAGTTCGGCGTTGATCCTTTCACACTTACAAGATTTATTCCATTATGCTCTATTTTTTGCAAGTTATCAAGCTCATCGGGGGCTTGTTGATTCAAAAAACCCATACGTTCTTGTGAGTCACCCTAAAAAAATCTTAACTTAATTTGAGGAAGCATAGAAAACTTTTTTAAATTTTGGCATTTTGAAAAAAAAAGTTTTTTAGGTTGCAGCCTTTTTGATTTTTAGAGAAAGTTATTCTTTTAGGGTTTTCTATGAACCTAAACCATTTTAAAAGACTGGATCATTGGGCAACTTTTACTGGGAAAACAAAAACGAAAATCCTTTATCAAAAGTAGTAGTTCACGTTGTTTATCATTTCTGAAACAAATGATCGCTAGTTTGAGATTGAGTAATTTAATGCTATCAAGAAGTTAGCAGTAGTTGGTCGCGAAAGTCGCAACACACTTCAACAATTTGTAATTGTTTTTTGATTATGCTCTCTAATCTGACTAAGAACTTGCTAAATTTCAGACTGCCGCGGAAATCGCAGCAAGCCTTTCATCTGAAATCTGTTCTGAATCTGGTTTTAAAATTAATTTTTAGTATCGATTCGATCTTTTTTTAATCCTGATTACCACGAAAATCGCAGAAAACCAGACCTTCTAGTTATTCTCTTGTTGTGAACCCTCATCAATTCTCCTGCACAAAAAATCATTAAGTAATTAGTAGCCGCGGAAATCGCAGCTCTTAAGTTTTAAAAATTCTTTAGATAAATTTGTTCACGAAAAAAGTTTTTTGCTACCGATTTCTTTAAAATTCACAGTAAACTGTTCAAAAAGTCATATTTTTTTTACTTTTACCACCAGAAACGCAAAACTGAAACAAAAAAACGGATTGAAGAGTTTTAAACTTTTTTCAATTTTCTAATTTTGACAAAAAAATGTTTTTAAGATTGCAGCTTTTGTGATTTTGACAGCAAGCTATTATTTTCAAATTTTTTTCTTGAACCTAAACCAATTTAGAAAACTGGATCAATGAAGCTGGGATCAGAGATGCTGGGTTTTTAGCAAAACCGTTCTTTGAGGAATAAAGCAAATCTTACCACTTGTTTCATAACCTTGGCCAGTTTTGTCATCTCTTCTAGATTTCGCGAAACCAAAGTGTCTAGGCTTTTGCACAAAACTGTTGTAGCAGTAGTTAACTTTTGGGTTGTTGACTGTAAACACCCAACAGTTTCCTGAAGCTGAACCACAACTTTTGATAATCCTTGTTGTGCTCCATTCTGATCAGTCGACTACAAGAAAACAAAATGATTTTTCCCTGAGTAGTAGTTTGAACTAATATTCTTTGCACTTAAGCGGTTTGCATTACAAATTTAGTTCGTCTTCGAAAAAGATTGAACAGATCGATCAGTGAAAAAATTTTCAATTCTTATTTAATTGGAAAACTTTTCTGAAAAAAGCACTAATTACCTGAATGACTGTGACACCTTTTCCAGCTTGTTCATAACTGATCAAATTCTTCTTCGGTTTTGGCAGTGCATAAGGAGTTGATGTTTTTCGTTTAATATTTCCTGAGTTATTCAGGAGTGGCAGAGTTCTATTAGCTGTGTTAACCTAACAAATAAAACAAATGAGCTTGAAGCAGGGAACAGGCACATTCTTTTTTATAAAAAAAGATGGTAGGCTGAGAAAAAAATGAGAAAGAGCAAGAAACTTATCTGATGACAAAAATTGCAATGTATATTCGATTTCTCACCTTTCTCCTAAACTGATTCATTTCATGTGTTTCAATTTCCACTCTTGGTTTTTTGTGCATTAAGGAACAACAAAGATTCAAAGAAACTTAATGAAAATTAGAAAACTTTCTGGTGGGTTCCAAGTTATTTTTTAATCTATTTGTTTTTTCAGCATTTTAATCAAAAACTGAAACCAAGAAACTCGAAACTAAACTAGGAAACGTCGAAAAAAATGTATCTAACCGTGCTAGCCAAGGGACTTCGTGTAATGTCACTTTTTCCGAAGTATGAAGACACATCTTCAGGTGTCAAATTGAGAACTTCTTCATCTATGTTTTCGATGTTACTTTCGTCAAGCATTTGATGGGCATTCTCTTTATCAGGGTTTTCATCTTGCTGCTCGACAAAACATTGATTCGGAACTCCTGGCAGTCCTAGATCTGCCCACTCAACCATAAATGCCGACAGTTCCGCCAAGCAATTGTTACAATAAGTTTCGCCTCCAATGGCTCGAATTGATGCAGAGTAAGTTTCGGTACCAACTTTCACCTCAATTTCAGTCATAAGCTAAGCAAAATAAAATGCAAAAACATGGAAATTATGTTTCAACTTGTATTTTGTTGAGACAAATTTTGTTTCCAGATTGCAAAGCTTTAAATAAAAGACCTATTACATGTCTGTTAATGATGAAATCTAAAACTATTACAAATTTGTTAACTCAAATATGCAATCAGCTCTCAACAGCAATAATTTTAAAAAGATGCTGTTCAAGCAGTTTATCTCAACTAGCACATAGCAAAAAAATTGAATCAACAAGCTTATAAGGACCTTTGCTATAAACTTGGCATAGAAAAAATAAAAAATGAAAGGTATTGAAAACTTGCTCACGTCAGCGCACTGTCTTTCAGAATAGCTCATTTGTATTCCACTGTGGAGAACGCTTATTACAGACGCTGTGTTGTCATCGTTCACGTAAATTAACCAAAAACGGTCTTGCAGTTTTTGCTTAGCAATTCTCTCGACTATTAGCACATTTTGCTGTTCCTCTTTTTTCCCTCGGGTTCTTCTCTGGGGTAGTTGACTGACATTCTCGGTATTATTTGCTTTCTGTGAACCCTACAGAAAAAATCAATGAGAAAATATTAAAAACAAACTAGAAACTGTTTAAGAAATTCCTTGCAAATTCCTGTGAGAGTTAGCTGGAATTCCTAAAGTTTTTAGTTGATGATTAATTGTTGTATTTTAGGTTAGAGATAAAAAAAAACTTTGCTTAGAAAGTCGGAAGCTAATTTTTTTGAATATTTGATAATTATGTTCAATCATCGACTAACCTCTGGTAAGACAGGTTCATCGATTACATTGTTGACCGAACTTTTGCTGACAGAGTTGCTAGTGTCAAGCAGAGGAGTCGCCTGGGTTCTAGGCTGATGGGTAATAACAAACGTTTTTGATAAACTCATTCTGATAAAGTTTTTGATAAATAGCAAGCAATCTGAAATCTTTGATCCAGAGAAATGTTCTCAAGTCAGACAAAAATCCACCAGCAGTCAAGCAAAAAAGCAGCAAATAGTCAGGTAATGCCACTGAATCTGTGATATTTTCCGATAGAGCTGAAATAATTGAACCTGTAATTATACCAAATATACGTTAACTATTCTACCTCAACTTTCGCTTTGTCGACCACTCTTAAAAAACCTGGGCACACCACTAAGGATAATTTTTGAAAAAAAGGGGAAAGGGCAATGCTAACACTGTTAATTTAAGCTGGCTTAGTAGAACTTTCAAGCTATTTTTCAAAAGATCGCAAAAAAGTATCAGATCTAGAATTATCGCCATAACCTGTAGTCACATCAATGAACTTCTAAAAAAAGCGGCAAAAAGGAATAGGTTTTGTCTAAATCTTGTTCAATAAGGTTATGCACTTGCTTTTCTTTAACTTACTTGTCAGCAAACGCTATTTTCACGAATCTAGATGTCAATTGGGCGACAGATTGTGCATGTGCTGGAAGATATCTACCATAAGTTTCCTTGCAGTGTACAGCTCGACTTTGATCCAGAGAAATGTTCTCACGTCAGACAAAATTCCACTAGCAGTCAAGCAACAAAAAAAGCAGTAAATTGCCAGGTTATGCCACTGAATCTGTGATATGTCTTTTTCCGATAGAGCGTTTACGACTTTTGAAACTCTCTCATTTACTTTTTTAGTTCTTTGTAGCGCCTACTTTTTTGCTCTCCAGAAGTGGAACTTATTCACGGTAATTTAAACTCCTTCGACTAGCGCGCGTTCGTTGTTCAAAATCGGTTTTTATTTGGATAGTTAGAAGCTAGTTATATTAACTTTACAAAATCAGAAAGACATTTGTCTGAAAAGCGAAAGAAGAGTTAAATCGAATTTCAGAAACAAATCAAAGGGGAGGGAAAAACTGGAAGGAGATGAAGCTCCAACTACATGGAGACCTAAAGACAACACTCATCATACGAAAAAGAGGCGGCTTCATAATTTAGACCGGTCCGAATAGCTGATTAGTTGTCGAAGAACAAAACTAATAAAATCAACACACATTCAGAGATCAGATGAGTAGATCTTATGCAAGCAACAATAGTTGATTTAAAACAATTTAGGCTTACCAGCATCTTATAAATTCAATTTATTTAATTTTATCAACTAGTTGACAGTAGATGGTCGCAAAAGTCGCAACAAACTACAATTCGTAATTAATTTTTGATTATGCTTTCTAACTTGAATAAGGACTTTTCACTAAGAATTTGATTAAGAAATTTCAGGCTGCCGCGAAAATCGCAGCAAGCTTTTCATCTAAAATCTGTTCTGCGTCTGGTTTTAAAATTTTTCTTGAGTATCGAAATTTTTTAAGAAACTGATCACCGCGGAAGTCGCAGCAAATCAAATTTTTTTCCCTTGTTCCGCTGTACCCTCATCAGGTCTGCCGCAAAGAAAATGTCATTCAAATATCTAAAAGCCACGGAAATCGCAGCACTAAACTTTTGGCTGTGATGAAGTTGTTGACGGAAAAAACTTTTGCTATCGATTGCTACAAAATTCACAGTAAACTGTTAAAAATATGTGTTTTATGAGTTTTACAAATACCAGGAATGCATAGCAGAAAGGAAGGAAAAAGAAGAAACAAAGAAACTGTTGGACCATTTAAAAAAGTCGTGATGAGGAATGTTTTTTTTTAAAGATTTGGTCGCGGTAGTCGCAACACACCTATATATCTTGTAATTAGTTTTTCATTATGCTTTCTAATTTGACTTAAAGCTTGCTCAGTTTGGGATCGCCGCGCAAGTCGCAGCAAGCTATTCACTCCTAATTCGCCGTTTTCTCCAACATATTTTTCACAAAAGTGAGACCATTGAAAAGTGACTCTTATGGAGAGTCTGCTGCTTGTATTCCGCATAAAATTAAAAATATATAGATAATTCTTAACCATTGCAAAAAACTACATAGCTTAAGCGTGAAAAAAGTCTTTCGTAAAACAATTTAGGCTTACCAGCATCTTATAAATTCAATTTATTGAATTCTATCAACTAGTTGGCAGTAGATAGTCGCGAAAGTCGCAACAAAGTACAATACGTAATTAATTTTTGATTATGCTTTCTAGTTTGACTAAGGACTTTTGACTAAGAATTTGACTAAGAAGTTTCAGGCTGCCGCGAAAATCGCAGCAAGCTTTTCATCTGAAATCTGTTCTGAGTCTGGTTTTAGAATTCTTCTTGAGTATCAAAATTTTTTTAAAATCTGATCACCGCGGAAGTCGCAGCAAATCAAATCTTTTTTTCCCATGTTCGGCTGAACCCTCATCAGATCTGCTGCAAAGAAAAAGTCATTTAAATATTTAAAAGCCACGGAAATCGCAACACTAAACTTTTGGCTGTGATAAATTTGTTGACGGAAAAAACTTTTGCTACCGATTGCTACAAAATTCACAGTAAACTGTTAAAAATATGTATTTTATTAGTTTTACAACTACCAGGAAAGACTAGCAGAAAGGAAGAAAAAAGAAACTGTTGGAACGTTTTAAAAAGTCTTGATGAGAAGTGTTTTTGTTTAAGATTTGCTCTTGTGTCAAAGTTATCAATCAAGGTAACAGCCAAAACAAAAATTCACAAGAAAGTTTCATTCAATCTTTCAGTTCAGTTGAGTTGAGTTTAATTTTTTCTTTTTGTGTCACAAGAAGAGTTTAATTTTGCTACAAATTTTTTGTGTTGAGTTTAATTTTCTTTTTGTGTCACAAGTTGACAGGTTAAGCATTTTTTGTCGAGTTTTCTCGATAAACTTTTTTTTCTGATGACATTGAACCAAACATATCTTTCTGGTTTCCACCACTCAGTTGGCGCTTCTTCTGCACTGCATCCTTTTGGTTACTAAACTGACGCCCATCATTTCTTTGCATTTCCTTAACTCTTGGATTTTTCAATGCATTCAAGTCTTTTTCATTATTGACTTGTATAAATCTCTGCCTCCCGGAACTTGTGTCACAAACAACCGACACAGCACAATTATGAGTTGTCGTTACAAAACCTCTGCTCTCGGCCAAGCGTTTCACATAAGCATCCAATGGAGGCAACCGCTCTTTCACCCAAATTGTTTTACCATTGATTGGATTTTTGTGATCATCATACTTTAGTTTTCGCCGGTTCTTGTAGGCTTCAAACTTGTCATTGAAATAAATGAATTTGATTATGACTGAAGGCATAATGTTTCTATCCAAATATTTGTTCGGTAGTATATGGAAAGCTTTCAAACTACTGCCCGAAATCTTGACTTTGAGATATTTGTCCAAAAAATGTATCACATTACTTAAAAATTTCCTCTCATCACGCGGATCAAACGGGGGATTGTCGACAATTATGGAATCCTTTGATGTATAGCGCTCTTGTTGTCGCACTCGAATATCTAACTCATCAACAAAATCTTTAAGTTCCCCGTATTTTGATAGAATTTCTGACTTACTTTCTTCCACCTCGGTTATTATTTTACTCACGACTTCACGAGTTGGCCCATCTGCTATCGCACCCACAAGCTCTTTCCATCGGGCATCCATAGCTAATGCTAAAGTTTTGACGGCGATCGCTGTTACTACTATTGCTTACGGTAAGCTCAATTCGGGACGTCAATTTAGCTGAAATAATTGAACATGTAATTATATCAAATATACGTTAACTGTTCTACCTCAACTTTCGCTTTATCGACCACTCGTAAAAAAACATTTGCACACCACTAAAGATAATTTTTGAAAAAAAGGGGAAAGGGCAAAGCTATTACTGTTATTTTAAGCTGGCTTAGTAGAACTTTCAAGCTATTTTTCAAAGGATCACAAAAAAGTATCAGATCTAGAATTATCTCCATTACCTTTAGTCACATCAATGAACTTCTAAAAAAAGCTGCCAAAAGGAATAGGTTTTGTCTAAATTTTGTTCAATAAGGTTATGCACTTGCTTTTCTTTAACTTACTTGTCAGCAAACGCTATTTTAACGCACCTCGATGTCAATTGGGCGACAGATTGTGCATGCGCTGGAAGATATCTACAATAAGTTTCCTTGCAGTGTACAGCTCGAATTGGATGCAGAGAAATGTTCTCACGTCAAACAAAAATCCACTAGCAGTCAAGCAATAAAAAAAAGCAGAAAATAGCCAGGTAATGCCACTGAATCTGTGATATGTCTTTTTCCGATAGAGCTGAAATAATTGAACCTGTAATTACATCAAATATATGTTAACTGTTCTACCTCAACTATCGCTTTGTCGACCACTCTTAAAAAAACCTGTGCACACCACTTAAGATAATTTTTGAAAAAAAGGGGAAAGGGCAAAGCTATTACTGTTATTTTATGCTGGCTTAGTAGAACTTTCAAGCTATTTTTCAAAAGATCACAAAGAAGTATCAGATCTAGAATTATCGCCATAACCTGTAGTCACATCAATGAACTTTTAAGAAAAAGCTGCAAAAAGGAATAGGTTTTGTCTAAATTTTGTTCAATAGGGTTATGCACTTGCTTTTCTTCAACTTAAAAGTCAGCAAACGCTATTTTAACGCACCTAGATGTCAATTGGGCGACAGATTGTGCATGTGCTGGAAGATATCTACCATACGTTTCCTTGCAGTGTACAGCTCGACTTTGATCCAGAGAAATGTTCTCACGTCAGACAAAAATCCACTAGCAGTCAAGAAATAAAAAAAAGCAGTAAATAGCCAGGTAATGCCACTGAATCTGTGATATGTCTTTTTCCGATAGAGCTGAAATAATTGAAAGTGTAATTATATCAAATATACGTTAACTGTTCTACCTCAACTTTCGCTTTGTCGACCACTCTTAAAAAAACCTGTGCACACCACTAAAGATAATTTTTGAAAAAAAAGGGGAAAGGGCAAAGCTATTACAGTTATTTTAAGCTGGCTTAGTAAAATTTTCAAGCTATTTTTCAAAAGATCACAAAAACGTATCAGATCTGGAATTATCGCCATAACCTGTAGTCACATCAATGAACTTTAAAAAAAAGCTGCAGAAAGGAAAAGGTTTTGTCTAAATCTTGTTAAATAAGGTTATGCACTTGCTTTTCTTTAACTTACTTTTCAGCAAACGCTATTTTAACGAATCTAGATGTCAATTGGGCGACAGTTTGTGCATGTGCTGGAAGATATCTACCATAAGTTTCCTTGCAGTGTACAGCTCGACTTTGATCCAGAGAAATGTTCTCACGTCAGTCAAAAAACCACTAGCAGTCCAGCAATAAAAAAGCAGTAAATAGCCAGGTAATGCCACTGAATCTGTGATATGTCTTTTTTCGATAGAGCTGAAATAATTGAACCTGTAATTATATCAAATATACGTTAACTGTTCTACTTCAACTTTCGCTTTGTCGACCACTCTTAAAAAAACCTGTGCACACCACTAAAGATAATTTTTGAAAAAAGGGGGAAAGAGCAAAGCTATTACTGTTATTTTAAGCTGGCTTAGTAGAACTTTCAAGCTATTTTTCAAAAGATCACAAAAAGTATCAGATCTAGAATTATCGCCATAACCTTTAGTCACATCAATGAACTTTTAAAAAAGCTGCAAAAAGGAAAATGTTTTGTCTAAATTTTGTTCAATAAGGTTATGCTATTGCTTTTCTTTAAATTACTAGTCAGCAAACGCTATTTTAACACACCTAGATGTCAATTGGGCGACAGACTGTGCATGTGCTGGAAGATATCTACCATAAGTTTCCTTGCAGTGTACAGCTCGACTTTGATCCAGGGAAATGTTCTCACGTCAAACAAAATTCCACTAACAGTCAAGCAATTAAAAAAGCAGTAAATAGCCAGGTAATGCCACTGAATCTGTGATATGTCTTTTTCCGATAGAGCGTTTACGACTTTTGAAACTCTCTCATTTACCTTTTTAGTTCTTTGTAGCACCTACTTTTTTTGCTCTTCAGAAGTGGAAATTATTCACGGTTATTTAAGCTCCCTCGACTAGCGCGCGTTCGTTGTTCAAAATTGGTGTTTCTTCGGATAGTTAGAAGCTAGTTATGTTAACTTCACAAAACCAGAAAGACATTTGTCTGAAAAGCGAAAGAAGGGTTGGGTTATTCAATGTTGATTCTAGTTGGTTTAAATGAAAACGAATGTCAAGAATTTAAGCTCTATTAGAGTGTTGTTCATTATCAATTTGGTGATGAATATCAATTCGGTGATGAAAAATTGCCGAAATCGGTTAATAGTTTTACATTGAACAAATCAAAACAAAAATGGATTAATTTTAGAAGCTAACTGATCTTCGGTTTACGATAATCAAATAGCGCAATGCCTTAAAGCTCTGTGAATTTTCAGAACGATAATAAAAACTTCTTTGATAAATTTAACCTAATTTGAGAAAACTGAATCAATAGGTAAAACTTTTATTCCGCTGGAAAATTCAATAATTAAATTTCACTTTCGAAATTAGAAGTCGATCATGTGACTTTTATAATTTTGCTGATCGATAGTGGAATTAACCCTCCTTTTAACAAAGCCTGAACAAATTATAAGACTTTTTTAGAAAAAAATGATCGAGACCTATATAAGTCTGAAATACGTTCATCAACTCTTAATAGAATAAATCATAGTCATTAAAAACATAAAATAAGCTTTGCTTCGCAGACACTAGCGAGAACACGACAAAGCAGCTCTATGAAGTGCAATAAGAAAAACTTTGTGATCGAAAACGTCCTTATCCTTTGCTTGGAATAAATAGTACTAAAAAATTTTTTTTGAGAATCGAACAATACACTACCGAGCACAGTTTGCTTGTCATTGATTATATAAAGATAATTGCTACTTTAATTATCGAATATCCAAGGAAATTTCAATTTATTTATTCGCTCCTCTTAACTGAACAACATTTTAACATCATTACTCCATCTTAAACTGGATTATTAGCTTTTTAAAATAAATTTAGAGCTCAAATAAATTTTTTCGAGCACAATTCCTTGGCGTGAAATACAACAAGTAAGGATTTAAATGAAGGATTGATTACATAGTGAAAACCTATAAACCGCGAAATGATCCATAGCACCATTTTATGTTTCGAATTAACCTGCTCGTAATCAGTGGCTGGTCACATCATCTTAAATTACACTTCAGTCAGCCGGAACTGGTTTTTTGAGGGGGAGCGATAGGGTTACTTCTTCATCTTCTCAATTGAGCCGTTAATGTGTTGCAGGAATTCGACGTAGGATGAGCTGCCGTCAGTTCTGTCATCTACCAGGCTCTCAAAAAACAGAGCCTTGCTGGGGTCATCGTCTCTGAGTATTAGGATGGGTGCGTGGTTTGGCCTCGAGTCCAGCAAGTGGAATATGAAAGCTCTGAGGGCATTTGACACAGTGTTGTCTAACTCAGGCAGCGACTTCAATCCTCCAGATGGTATGCCAGTGGGATTCGGAAGGTCCAGGACCTTCATGCACCAGTTCATTGATACGTGACTTCGCACCAAAAGGATCATCTGGGTGCCCTTGTCCAGAAGGTATGCCCCGTCACGAGACAGACTCTCTGCTGACAACTGAAGTTGGGGAGGCTGGGGGATCTTTCCCTCTGCGAAGCTGAACACGGTCTCCTGGTTGGCGTTGGTGGGCGTCTCGTTTGGATCAGATCCCATTAGAGGCTGTAGATGAATATTGTGTACTGGGTACATTGGAGGGTAAATCATATGCATATCTGAAGTTATTATATGTTCAGAAGTTATTTTTTGTTGGATCTATACCCTTACTTTTTGTTTCTATTTTTTTTCTATCATTTGTTTCCTTCATTATGAAAAAAATCCCTTCCCCTCACCAGACATAGAGAATCAATCAGCATCAGAATTTATAGAAAACTGACTAAACAGCATCATTGGTACAAATTAGGTAATCTGGAAAAAAAATATATCTATATAAGTAATCAAGAAAAAAAGTTATTGAGATAATGTTGAAAAAAACATTATCGAGAGTCCAAATGTCTCGGCGTGCAAAATTATGTCCCTTGAGATATCCCCCTCGAGAAAATACTAGATCTAAATAAGGACGTGATTTTAAACGAGTTTTAGTGTTATTTGAAAAAATAACTATTTTTAATGAAAAAAACAAGACACGTGACAAAAGTTCAGAATTCATTCGAAAATTTCAAAAAAAAAAATTTCAGATCTGATCATGTCTGATGCAGTTCAGGACAGACATGCAATCTCACAACAAATGGATTCAACCTGGGCATATCTGTATTTTTATTTTATTTCCGTAACATTAAAATTGTTGTATCTTCCAGGTCTGAACATGTCTGATACAGTTCAGGGCAGATATGCAATCTCACAACAAATGGATTAACCCTGGGCATATCTGTATTTTTATTTTATTTCTGTACAACGATATATTATACATGCATTTTCTCCAGTTATCTTCCGGCGTGCGTCTTTTGTTTGAAACTACAGAAACTAATAAAATCAAAACAGCTGAGCTTCTACGGAACCAATTTTGCGGCACTATTTTCAAAATATTTGACATGAACAGCAAAATAGAAACAATATTTGTACATATGATAAACCATCTGGCGATAAAAGCAGTAGATTCGGACCTTTGTTTGCTTTCTCAGCGATGAGTTTCGAATCAGCCAATCGGCTCATGGTCAAATTGCTTACAGGGTCAACGTCAGAAGTTGATATAATATGCCGTCGCTTTCTTCAAAAGCGTAATCTCACAGGCGAGCTCTTTACAAATGAAACAGCACACAATTTTTTCCATGATTGGTCTGGTTTCGAGCCGAAAACTAATGCAATGACTTTCGATAAAGAGCTGTTGGAAACAAACGAAGTTCAAATCGCTCGAAACATTTGTCCTGGTTCCAAAATTTTTAATCGACATATCATCAGGGGCGTATACTACGATTCAGTCGCGTACAAAAGGTCATCAGGTGAGGAATTAGCTTCATACAGTTCAGCAGTGGAAGTAGTAAATTATTCGGTCAAATTCAATTCTTCCTTGTCCCTAATCCTAACGATGATGAATTACACGCATGTGTTAAAATTTTTGAGCAAAAAGAGAATGTCGGACCTGTGGAGGGAATATTTTATCGAGTTAAAGTACTAGCAAAATAGACCTCATACCTGCGTATGATTTCCGCAAAGTTTTATACTGCAAGAGCTGTATCGCGAAACAAGACAAAGACTGCGTGGAAAGCTCTATAATTGTAGAATACATGATTTCACTTTCATCAACTCATCATCACTTCTAGATGAAGCTCGAATATTCCAAGAAATCCCTAACTCAGCCTAAGTTATTTTATCTTAGTTCATTCGTGTGTTATGTATTCTGATGTTTCTATGTATTCTGACCTTCCGTGATAGTTGAACACAAATTCGTGATAGTTGAACACAAAAATTGACCTCTTCGTTTTTAAAATCCATAAATTAAATCTCATAAGTTAAAACGAGGCACTAATCAATTTCGCGCAATTAATTGATTGCTAGAAGCAAGTTTTGGCACTTGTTTCTTCACATAGACTGTGAAGTGACATATCGAGTTGTCTGTAAGTTGAAGTTTTCTAGCTTTAAACAGAAATATGGTATATGGAAATATCGCAAAAGATTTAAAATATTATGTTTTCAAACAATGAAAAACTTTCCTAAACTCAACAGTTTGTGAAAAGTGATGTTTGTGGTACTGTTGGTTTATGTTTGTGGTACTGTTGGAATCAACAAATACGAAAACTGTAGATTATTGGTCGCATGGAAAAAGAGCATGGTTAATTAATTCCTTTCTAGCATGTTTTAATTGATGAGTATTTGTTTCAGGCTAAACCTTTCGATAATGAGTAAGCACAAAAACATCAATTTCCGTCGCTTGACTGAGTGTTACCTGACTGTGATAATGAATGGGCCCACTTAATTGTCGTTGACGGGCTTGTAAGAAGTCATCACGAGATTGGAGGATTTAGCACCCAAGGCTCTTACCAAAAGTCCCAAAATTGTGTATGTGTCACATCGAAAAAATTTTTAGGAAATGTGCCGAGTCAAGAGTTATTTTTAAACTCCAATGTGAATTTGAAGCTGGGCGCTTTCATGACTTCATGAAAAGTCATATGGATTTGCTGCTAAAATACACAAAACTAACTAGTGACCGCGGACCCGGTGTTGCAAGAAAGAATGTCAATTGGCAAACCATACCCGCGAGCAGAGCCAATATGCGAGCTGTGGTTTGAAAAAATAATTTATCAATAATGTCATACATTGGACATTTATTTGCTTTGTATTTAAAATTGAAAATCATTGGAGCTTGTAATTGATGATCTAATTTGCTTATTTTTACTTTTCAAGCCCTCTGCCAAAAAAAAAATTGCACTTGCGCACAACTCCAAAGCACCTTATGCAAAAACAACTGACTGTGTTCGACCGTCATCTGGTTTTGTGCGCTATAGATCTCACCGTAATCATTTTGAGTTTTGCATGTACTTTTGGATAAGACTAAAAAAACATTTGTTTTATAATTTTATTTAAACTGCAAGTCAAGTGTTAACGTTTCCTAAATGATTAACTGTCGTTTAACATCTTTCGTTTTGTCACTGACTGATAGTTTCACTAAATTGTTTTTATAGCTTTTATGCTTATAATTTATCGGGACCACGTGCATATTTCTCGAGGGGGTACTGTATATGATCAGCAATTATGCTGTTCCAGCTAACTGCATTTTATAAATACATACAATGGATACTTTTGCTACTTGCAATTGTTTTACAGTTGTGCAAGCAAAAAAATTCCTCAAGATCAAATTCAAGCTGAAGTTTTTTTTCTGTTCGACTTTCCTTCGACCGACTCGACTTCACATTCCGATTTTGAATTTGATGGGGATCATTTTTCGACCATCGCGACTATTTTTTCGACCGCTGTGACTAATTTTTTGACCTTGCTCTGACCAATTTTTGGACTGCCGCATCCATTTTTTTTGGACCGCCGCGACTAATTTTTCGACTATGCCGTGACGAAGTTTTTGACCGCCGCGACTAATATGTCGACCGCCGTGACGAGTTTTTGACCGCTGCGACTTATTTTTGGACCATGCGGCAACTAATTTTTTAACTGCCGCGACGAATTTTTTGACCGCCTAATTGTTCGACCATCCCGCGTCCGTTTTTTTGACCCGTGCGAAATTTTTTTTGACCTTGCACTGACCAGCTTTTGGACCGCCGCGTATTTTTTTTTGACTGCCGGGACTAACTTTTCGACCATGACCCGACAATTTTTTGACCACCGCGACTATTTCAATTTTTGGACCACCGCGACGAATTTTTCGACCGTCCCGCCTAATTGTTCGACCATCGCGCGTCAATTTTTTTGACCGGTGCGAAAGTTTTTTGACCTCGCACAGACCAACTTTTGGACTGCCCCGTATTTTTTTTGACCGACGCGGCTACATTTTCGACCATGCCGCGACGAATGTTTTGACCGCTGCGACGAATCTTTTGAACGCTGCGACGATTCGTTGTTCCACCGCGACTATTTTTTTGACCGCTGCGACTAATTTTTCAACCATGCCCCGACAATTTTTTTGTCGCCGCGTTTTTTTTCGAACGCTGCGGCTAATTTTTTGACCATGCCGCGTTATTTTTTTACGAATTTTTTGACCGCCGCGACTACTTTTTTGACCGCTGCGACTAATTTTTCAACCATGCCCCGACAATTTTTTTGTCGCCGCGTTTTTTTTCGAACGCTCGGACTACTTTTTTGACCATGCTGCGATGATTTTGTTGACAGCCGCGAATATTTTTTTGACCGCCGCAGCTAATTCTTCGACCGAGGCGCGACGAATTCTTTGACCGCTGCGACAATTTGTTTGTCCACCGCGACTATTTTTTTGACCGCTGCGACTAATTTTTCGACCATGCCGTGACAATTTGTTTTGTGTGCCGCAACTTTTTTTTCGACCACTGTGATTAATTTTTCGATCATGACCCGACAATTTTTTACGAATTTTGTGACCGCCGTTGCTAATGTCTCAACTGCCGCGACAAGTTTTGACCATCCTGCATCAGTTTTTTGACCGCCGTGACGTTTTTTGTCCGCGACTACTTTTTTGACCATGCCGCGACGATTTTGTTGACAGCCGCGACTATTTTTTCGACCGCTGTGACTAATTTTTTGACCTTGCTCTGACCAATTTTTGGACTGCCGCATCCATTTTTTTTGGACCGCCGCGACTAATTTTTCGACTATGCCGTGACGAAGTTTTTCACCGCCGCGACTAATATGTCGACCGCCGTGATGAGTTTTTGACCGCTGCGACTTATTTTTGGACCATGCGGCAACTAATTTTTTAACTGCCGCGACCAATTTTTTGACCGCCTAATTGTTCGACCATCCCGCGTCAATTTTTTTTTGACCGGTGCGAAAGTTTTTTTACCTCGCACAGACCAACTTTTGGACTGCCCCGTATTTTTTTTTGACCGACGCGGCTACATTTTCGACCATCCCGCGACGAATGTTTTGACCGCTGCGACGAATCTTTTGAACGCTGCGACGATTCGTTGGTCCACCGCGACTATTTTTTTGACCGCTGCGACTAATTTTTCAACCATGCCCCGACAATTTTTTTTGTCGCCGCGTTTTTTTTTCGAACGCTGCGGCTAATTTTTTGACCATGCCGCGACATTTTTTTACAAATTTTTTGACCGCCGCGACTACTTTTTTGACCG